ATATATATATACTTATACGGTTTCAAAATGTTTGCAAATGGTTTTAATTCCCGGGATCCATGTGAGCAGAGAATGCAACACTGTTCCTTGCAAYCGAGGGAGAGGTCCTCTCTTGTCGGGCAGTGTTTGATCATTATGGGCTAAGAGGTTAAGTGTAAGGCCATTTAGGGTTGCACTTGATGGGCTAATCTTGCATCTGCCCACAGTCCCTGGGTTTTTATAAGATGGCTTGGCCCAGGGACCACTTAGTGTAAGTGTTGGGCCCATAGAGTTCATGTGATGGACTCAAGGGGTTCACTGGGGTTTCCAGTAAATTCGGCTAGGCCTTGTAACAAAGGCTGGGCTGAACCCATGTGGCTGATGTGTAGATCAATGCTTGGGTCCCACGCCATACAAAGAAGCCCAACTGAGCAGTAGTTTGGAAACTTATTGAGCAATGATCACTTATTGGGCCTAAAGCCCATTTCAACCTGGGCTGATATGATCACCCACTTAAGGGGCGTATCTGGGGTTAGGGTTAGCTAAAGGATTAGGGTTTTAACCCTATCCACTCTTGGAGACCAAATTCAAATGTGATTTGAATCTGGTAACCTCCTGATAAGATCAGGAGTGGGCTGACCTAATCTGTAGATAGGATTAAGATTATCCCCTATCCCAATACAGATTTGGATTGGGATAACTCCTAATAGGATTAGGAGATTTCTTAATCACTAAGAAAGGAGGAAACCCTAATCTAGAATTACAAGAATTCGACCTAGGGTTTTGCAGTAACAACTTCTACAATCTGAGATAGGATCTCATCTTCCTAAGCTAAAATCTGCTTCCACGCCACTTTCAGCCTTTGGAACTCCTCCAGTCGCCACCACCTTACTGCTTGGTTCGAACTCCTCTGAAGGGAAGCTCAAGAAACTAGTTCTTGAGATCAGTCTTTGCTGAAAGACTGATTTGGTTCGGTGCTCTAAGCCTCCAACGAATTCTTGCAAAGAGTTCAGTACGTGGGACGTACACTGTTGGTTCTGCCCCACCATCACTGTGTCATCTTCAGCGGGAGCAGATCTTAGATCTTTCTTTGGGCGTGAACACCGACGTTGGGAGATTTTGATTCTTCGTATCAAGTATAACCCTTCCCTTGATCTTTGGTTCAGATCTGGTCTAGTTTGGTTCGAGTAGATCCTTGAATATTTGATTCTAAAATAAGGGAATGCGATTCCCAGTTGATTGAAGGGAGAAATACTTTTGAAATTTGCCCACCTATTCCGCTGCTTTCTTGGCGTTCATACAATGGATTTTTCCCTCCTTTCATTTATGTATTGATTGTTCGGCTAATAAGTGTTCTTATTAGCCTGTATTTGTGTTTAAGTTGCTATGTACTGGGCCTGTGTTAATGGGCCTAAGTTTATTTTGTGTTTTAAGTAGTCTGGGTGTCCCATCACTAATCAGGGGCATTCCAGACATTTCCTGTAACATTGTACTGTAATCTAATATAAATGTTAGTACTGTCGACTAGGTTATGCAGTTCGACATTCTCAGCACCTCTTGGTCTCCTCCTCTCTTCTACTACTTTGACTACAACATTTCAGCTTACACTACTATCATATAAAATAGAGACTACCTCTAGGATAATCTATGACAATCAAGTTACACCAAGGTAGCTTAACATGTAGAGTCACTCCTAGGCGATAAGGCACAAATGGAGGGTTTCCTAACTTAATTGCCAAGATATTTTTCACACAGAGCTGTTGGATACTTTTATATTCTTGATTTTAGATTATAATAATAAAAGAGACATAACTAAACTAAATTATTCAATTTGAGTTCAAATACTAGTTTCTTTTTATTGTTTTTCTTGTTTGTTAGGGTTCAACCAAGATGTATACTCTCTTGAACCCTCAAAGACTTTTAAACCTGAGCTAATAAGCATGGAAGAACTAGCCCCTCTTTTTTTGAAATTTCTTTTCCTCCATTCTTTTCATGAATATGTTGATTTTCTATTTTTAAAATGAAGTTTTTTTTTTGTATGAAGATTATAGACAATTAATAGTGAAAGATGGTTTCTGTTTGCTATGGAACTTAGAGAATTACCCTAAGAACTAGGATTCATGATTTTTATTCAAAAAAATCCTGTTACTTAGGCGATTAGGCTACAAGGTGCCCCTTATTGCCTAGCCTCACCTCATCACCTTGAAAACTATGCACCAAAGAGAATTCTAATGTTACTTCAGTAATTTCCACCAAGAAACCCAATCACACTAATAAAAAGAAACACCAAACAACGGTTTTTATGGTCCAGAAACACTAAAAACACTACCCGCACCTCAAGAAAAACACTAAAGACTTCTCCAAAAAACTAGCCAACCTTAAGAACATGAAACGGACATGATTATCTTATCTCACTAGTCACCACACTATTCACACACATCATTCACCAGAAGACTTGTAGAAGAGAACAACAAACCTGTACCATCTGCAAACTGTCCCTCTTTGAGTTGCCAATTAGAGGGAATCTAGAAAACCGCCACCAACTCACCAACCACTGTAACCTGATGCACAGAAGCCTCCTTTCCTAGAGGGCAATCAGTTCTTTTCAGTCCTCTTTCCTTCCTTCAATGGATAGAGAGAGTTCTCTATAGAAACAGAACCGTATGGCATCAATAACAGACGAGGTCGATCACTGATGCTCTAATACTATGCGATTAGACCTAATAAGTTCTTAAATGATTAAGAAAAATAACTAACTAGAACCATCCCAAGAATAAGTAAGAACAAGAGAAAGAGAAGAGAACTAGCACTGAAGAGCAAAAGAGGTCGAACCAAACTGATCTCAACTGCCACCCTCTTTTATTAAGTTTATAACAAAGGATGAGATTACAATATAACCCACTTAAGTAATAAAGAAATAAAAAGAGAAAGAAACTGAGAACCGTCATTGCTTATGTATAAAAAGGAATATAACTTCTAACAAAGATAAGCAGTTGCTCGTCATGCCACACAGCACATTAGCTTGTCTCAGCATGCATATGAACACATATGAGAAAATCACTCACAAACCCTTCCCCCAGCCTACCTAGTCTCACTTTTATCCTAAAGCTCCAAGCTCTATAGGCAAGCCTCATCTAGTTGGCACACTCATGACTATTTGACTATTCCATGTGGGACTTGGAGCTTAAGACATCTTTAGAAGACATTGAAGTAGTTTTGGAGGGAATTCAAGTCAAAGTGGTCTTAGAAATCAAACCACTAGAGGTAAGCAAACCAAGAAGGCAAAGAAAGGCAAAACAAGACAACACAAAAACTATAAAGACAAAATAAGCTTAAAGGATTTAACACTTTTGGTTTTTGAATTTCTCAAATAACTAAAACAACAAATACAATATGGCCTAGTTGAGTTAAGTTGAACTTACAGTCTATTCAAGGCATTAAGCCATTTTCCTAAATTCAACATCTAACCCTATTTCCCCAATTCTACCTTGTTTAATCTTGAAATTTCAGATCTAATAAACCCTATCTTAGAGGTTGTATATATATTTTGTTGATAAAGCCAACATAAACTCCAGAGCCCAAATGGAAAAACCTCATATTTATGTCTCAAACAAGTATTTTGTTCTTTTCCATTGATTGCATTAAAACTCAAAACTTATTCAAATTCTCCAACTAGTGCCACATTACTTATGCACTCATATGGACAAACCTCATATTAAACAAGCCAACATAAACTCCAGATCCCAAATGGAAAAACCTCGTATTTATGTCTAAACAAGTAGTTTGTTCTTTTCCATTGATTGCATTAAAACTCAAAACTTGTTCAAATTCTCCAACTAGTGCCACATTACTTATGCACTCAGTTAACAATGAAGAAATAAATAAGAAAATAATATTCTAAATACTTGGAACCAACTAAGATGACTAAAATAATTGTAAACAATGAATTTCATCAGAACTACATATGTTGTCTTTGTTTTGCCTATAATTCTTCAAATTCCAAATCTCATGACCATAGCTCCTTGGATAGGTAGTCATGATCTTCCCCCCCCCCCCCACTGACAAAATAAAGGCACTCAAGTGTGCTTTGGCATGGAAATATTGTAGAGAAAATGGTTGACCAGCTTGTGGTCCCACCTGCTCACATGTTCTTTCTTGTATATAGTACTGTTAGACCTTTTTTTTCTATTGTTTCTTGTGACAGGGGCATTCCTGTCATTGTACCTCTTAATGTTGAAGACCTATTTTAAATAACACTTGGGGTGGCAGACCAAGCTAGCCGAACCCCTCATTCTCTTCTATTCTCTCTTCCTCTTCTCCTCTTCTCTTCTCTTCATTTCTGGTTTACTTTTCTTACTAAACAGGTCTGAACCCTCTTATAGGCAAAACTACTAGGGCTAGTGCATGCATCAAATAATTAGTTGTTTTATAAGAGACGTGTTTTATCTTTTGGGCTAGCTGACCAAGGACAACAGGCAAAATTACTAAGATGCAATATGACAACTTTTTGACCTAGAGGCATAAGACCCCTGATGGCCAGGAGGCCCAGGACCAGCATTGGGTAATGGCCCTTTAGGCATATAAGACCATTAAAGCCCCATTACTATTTCCTTGCATGCAATGCTGTTTTCATATTCTATGGATAAATGCAAGTTTTCATATTCTACAAATATGAAAATAATATCCCACTTTCTCAAGCTAACTTTTAGAAGCTAACAAACTGATATCATACCTGTTAATCTTTTATCATATCTGAGGTGCTTCTACTAATTCCCCTTGAGAATAAAAAACTTCAAGTATCTGAGAAACTGATGAGCCCAATGAACAATTACATCCCAAGATCCAACTAGCTCAACATGGTTGAGCTTTAAACAATGCACTGCATAAAATGTTAATATAAAGCAATCAAAAAAAGGATATCTAATTGGAAATTATTGACTTGCTTGAAATTGGAAAGAAGGATTAAAAGAGACTTAGCAGGCCAAGAAAAGATATTAAATAATTGATAATAAGTGATTCAGAGCAGGCTGTTCCCAACAATAACATGACAGCAGGAATAATAAATCATGGAAGACTGTGCACAAAACCTGGATAATTGCAGTTCTCCAGCTCTCCTGTTGCAGTTGAAAAAATTTGTAAATTTCATGACAACTGGTACCACTGGATTCCTCCAATGCAACTCCACAATTTGGGGAACTCAAACTCCAAGTGCCACTTACTAACTCCTCTTTGAAGCATGAACAAGAGAGTAGCTTCTTATAAATTATTAAGGTACGTTAGTTTCTTTTCATTTTGCAATCAGACCAAAAGCCTGTCCTCTTAACCTAACATTACTATGGTCAGATAGTATTGCTCTTCTGATAAATTTCCTCTTTTTAAACTTATTCCCTGGTCTAACAAGCCTACCCTTTTTCTTCATCTTTTCCAGTTTCTGCTTCCTCCCCTCTATGTCAGCTCTAATGGCTTTATCTCTTTTGTCATCTGGTAGTAAAGCCAATCTTGCAAATTTTTTTGGCGTAACTTGTCCTAGTTGATCATGTATCTCCTTGAAGACAGGAACAAGGCCACTTCTCATGAAATACCCTTCATAAAGCTGCATTGAATTTGATTCAGGCAGAGATGGAGCATTCTTCAACTCAAGGTCCAAACAAAATGGAGAGTCCTTTAACCACATCCTGAGGGAATGAGCTTTTGCTATGAGGAGCCCAGTGCGTGTTTTACAAGGCAAGAAGGGTGATCCCATCTCCCAAAGGTATGCTTTTAGTGTCTTATTAAGGGAAACCATGTTGTATTCTGCTGTCCCTGTTATCAGAACTACTGATTTTGGAGACTCGGGCGAACCTTGTAAAGATGCATCCTGTCAAAATGAAAATTTGTAATTTTCTTTTGTGTTGTACCTTAAGGTATGAATTGAAAAATGGTATGAAGAAAAAAATGTAATCTTAATTTTTTGAACATGTGGGTCATAACATAAGATGGAAGAAATGCTATCATTTACATTCATAAAAAAGAATAACAAACATGGAAGAAAAACCAACACCAAAATCATATTTGAGAATTGGGTAATTTAGAGAATCTTGCAGTAACTTTAATGGATTATTATATGACATGTAGACCAGTTGTAGTAAAACCTAGCAAAATCCTATTCATAAAAGAAAATGGCATTGGCTTAAAACTATTTCACGAAAAATAAAAATGTATTTCCTGCAGTTATCAAACAATGTTTTTGGTAATAATCAAAATTTATAGGGCATCCCACTGCATGAGGCTCCCACCAATGCGTCACCTGAGAGAAGTAAGGAAACATTCAATTTCCACCCAACTCCCCCAAAACTAAAACCATCCTAAAAGAGAGCACATAAAGAGTGCCCAAAGCCTCCAACTCTGTTGATAAGATGAGAAGGAAATTGTTTCTTCGAGTTTTCTGACCCTAAGCCTTGTTTTTTATCAGCAAGATAATTTTTTTAGTTAAAACAGAGAAAGCAGCCACAAAAGTTAAAGGTTGCAGAGAAGCATTAATCTACTCTACAACCACTTGCAATCAACTACAATTCTGCCCAGTACAAAGAAGATCTATTTGCCCCTTGTTTTGCTAGGGTATCCGCCATCCTATTTGCATTCCGTTTGACCCAACCAAACTGAGAGCTGATCCTCCTTGTAAGTATGTCAATTTCTCTGAAGATAAATTTGAGCTTCCAAGGTACTGATGTGATGCTTTTAGCCCAAGAAATGACCAGTAGTGAGTATCCTTCTATTTCTAAGTCTGTTGTACCCATCTGCTCAGCCATCTTTAGACCTTGAAGTAGGGCTAGAGATTCAGCCTGTATTGAGTCACCAATACCTATTGGTCCTAAGAAGAGTGCCACCASCACACCCAGATGATTTCTAAACACACCCCCTATGCCTGCCCTTCCTGGGTTGCCAAAAGAACTCCCATCAAAGTTTAGTTTAGTTTGTTAAGTGCCAGTGGCTTCCATTCCACACTCACAATTACTTTGGGTGCATCTGTTTGTGCTACTTCAGCCCACCTTCTTAGAATCTCATTCGTGGAGTAATTTTTGAATAACTCCATGGTCTTCACCTAATGTACAGTTCTGATTTTTATGGCTTCAATAACTTCCTCCTTTGATTTGCTTTTTCCAGAAAAAAATTCTTAGGTTTCTTTCCTCCCATACAGTCCATACTGTAGCTGCTCTTGCTGCCTTCCATAAGCACTTTCCTCTTTTCTTCTGTTGTCTCAGGAAGGAGGGACTGAAAAGACTTACCACATCCTGTGGTGTGGGGGAACCCATCTGCATCCAAAGAGAGAACAAACAACATTCCAAATACCAGAAACAAAAGAGCAGGATAAGTGGGTTAGGGTTTCACCACAATCCATACAAAGGACACACATATGAGGAGAGGGGCAATTGTTTGGCCTCCTTTTCTGTAGCACATCACAAGTGTTTACCTTCCCTAGGAACACTTCCCAAAAGAAAGCTTGTACTTTTGGAGGGATCAGCCTTGACTGGATTCTCCATATTTGTTCAGCCCATCGTTCCAATTCTCCAAGCTCAAGGTGACGATTGAAAACCTTGCAACAAGGGACTGATGGAGGAAATCTTCCCTTTTATTTACTCCCACCTCCAAGACCACAACAAAGTTAGATGCTATGAAAACCTTAACGGTTGCTACACCTTCTACAGGGATTCCTAAATCTGCCATGATGGTCAGGAAACCCTTTAAGTTCTTGAACTCAGATCAAATTTGAGACAGAATGTTCTCAACGAATTAATATAGAGTGAACCACCCCACCACCCAACCAAAGTTAGTATCCTGAACCTTAAGCCAGGTGGATGCTAGGCGGCTGAATCAGGAGGATAAAGAAGAGTCAGAAGGAAACAGAAGAGTGGGAAGGAAGAGTGAAGGAAGTAAGGTATATTTAGGGAAGAAAGGAAAGCAAAGTAAGCTAGAGAAGCTTAAGTGCGGAATTAATTATGAGAAGAAGGAAGAGAGGAGCCTGAAAAGAAAAAGAGGGGAACAATAGGCAGCCATTGATAAGGGGTCTTAAGTAGGTTGAAATAAAGATAGTCAGTTGGAATGTAAGAGGCGGCCTTGGAAGTGCCAAAAAGAGGAGGATAATCAGGAATACTCTCAGAAAAGAAAGACCAGATCTGGTTTTGATTCAAGAAACCAAACTATCAGAGCTGAATAGAAGGTGGATAAGAAGCATTTGGGGAGCCAGGGATCTAATCTGGTCATATGCCCCATCATGGGGAGCCTTAGGAGGGATTTTGACCATTTGGAGAAATGAGGAAATGGAATGTGTGAAGGAATTGATTGGTAGATACTCAGTCTCCTTAAAAATTAGAAGATCCTCAGATGGGTGTGAATGGGTGGTAACAAATGTATATGGTCCTAACTCCTATAGAGACAGGGAGGCTTTTTGGGAGGAGTTATGTGCTATTAGAGGAATTTGGGAGGGACCATGGTGTGTGGGAGGTGACTTCAATGTTATCAGATTTTCGGGAGAAACAAACAAGCCGAACCAAGGAATCACTACCAGCATGAGGAAGTTTAATAATTTGATCGATTCCCTTGAATTGAGTGAACCTCCAATAGTAAGGGTGGACTATACATGGTCAAGTTTCAATCCCCCCAACCTGCTCCAAACTAGATAGATTTCTCATTACTCCCAACTAGGAAGAATTATGGGGCTCAATAGTAGTAAAAGGGCTACCTAGGGTTACCTCAGATCATTGCCCCATCTCCATTGAAAAGGAAATTCCGGGGGGAGGACCGATTCCATTCAGATTCGAAAACATGTGGTTTGAGGATCACTCGTTTAAAACCAGATTGTAGGATTGGTGGCAGGAACTCAGACCTTTGGGGAGTATGAAAATGTTAGGCTTTGCATGGAAATTAAAGAGGATAAAAAGGAAAATAAAAGAGTGGAACAAAGAGCATTTTGGGAGGGTAGAGGAAATAAAAGATAATATAGTGAGGAAGATTGAGGAGCTAGACAAGAAAGAGGCAATAAGAAGGTTATCAAAAGAAGAGAGAGAGAGGATCAATGGAAAATCAAGCAAGAATTGGAAAAGATTTGAAGGAAGGAGGAAATATGTTGGAGATAGAAGTCAAGGTGTCAATGGATTGTTGAAGGAGATGGTAATACTAAGTTTTTCCATGCAATTGCAAATGAAAGGAGAAAGAAAATTTTAATTTTTAGTGTAGAGGAGGGGGTCAGGAAGTTAGAGAGAGTCAGGAGATCACAAGAATCTTTGTTAACCATTTCAAGGAAATCTTCACAAGCTCAAGCGGGGTGACAACAAGGCTACCAGAAATGGAAGGGGATAGGCTCTCAGAAGAGCAATCTCAGGTGTTGGAGAGGAACTTCACTTTGGAAGAAATTAAGAATGCAATTTTCTCCATGGAAAGATCAAAAGCCCCTGAGCCAGGTGGATTTTCAATGGCCTTTTATCAAGAATGCTGGGACTGGTTGAAAACTGATATTCTAGAAGTGTTCGATGAATCCTTTCACAAAGGAGAGGTGCCTCAAGGGGTGAATGCCACTTTTAACACTTTAATCCTGAAGAGGAGGGAGGCCAAAACCCCTAAAGATTATTGGCCAATTAGTCTTGTTGGGAGTGTATATAAAACTATTGCAAAGGTTCTTTTAGAAAGGATAAAAAAAGTGCTACCATCGATCATTTCACCATTCCAAGGTGCTTTTGTGGAAGGTAGGCAGATTGTGGATCAAATTTTAGTAGCCAATGAGTGTGTTGCAGAAAAAAGAAAGGGTATAGGAAAAGGATTGGTGTGTAAGGTGGACCTAGAGAAAGCATACGATATGGTAATTGGGAAGTGCTACTTCAAATTTTAGAAAGGTTGGGTTTTGGAACCAAATGGAGATCTTGGATTAGAGGATGTTTAAGTTTGGTTCATTATTCAATTCTTATTAATGGAGTAGCAAAGGATTTCTTTCCGGCTGAGAGAGGAATTAGGCAAGGAGACCCCTTATCCCCTTTTCTTTTCACTTTAGTGGCTGAGGTGTTAAGCAGAATGGTGGCTAAAGCCGATTTCCAATGTTTGTTTAGAGGGTGGAGGATAGGTAGAAATCAAGTGGTTGTTACCCACCTTCAATTTGCAGATGACACAATTTTCTTTTGTGAGGGAGGTAACAAGGAAGGAGTGGTTAACCTAAAGTTGCTATTGGATAACTTTGTGGGGGTGACAGGTTTAAGGATAAATTGGACCAAAACAGGCATTGTAGGGATCAATCTGGAGGAAGGGGAACTTAATAGATTTGCCAAGATTTTGGGGTGTGAGATTAGAAGTTGGCCAATTAGCTACTTACCTTTAGGTGGGAACCCTAGGTCAAAAGATTTTTGGAAGCCAATCATTGAAAGATTTGCTAGGAAGCTATCTCTGTGGAGAAGAAATTATATCTCTCTAGGTGGAAGGATAACACTGATTAGAGACACGTTGGCAAACCTCCCTATTTACTTCCTCTCAACCTTTAGAATACCCTGTAGAGTAGAAAGGAGATAAGAAAAACACATGAGAGATTACATTTGGGACCCAGGTGAGGAGAGGAAGACTCACCTAATTAATTGGGATCAAGTTAGAAAGCCCAAGGATAAAGGGGTTTGGGAATAGGAAATATTTCACTTAGGAATTCAGCTCTGTTAGGAAAATGGTTGTGGAGATTCCTGTTTGAGAGAGACAGGCTGTGGCACAAAGTCATTGTGAGTATTCATGGTTTGTGTTAACAAATGTTATTTTATATATGTATAGTACCGCAGGGGTACTATTGTACTTTTCCTTTTCTTTATGTTTAGTTGTTGTCGCCCTAGTATAAATATAACATACTGCGCC